TATGGACCTAATTGAATATAATCGTCTTAGAAAATTAATCAAAAAACAAATTAAAGTTGCTTATAATATTTACATGTTAAAAGTGGAGAGTTCGGTTACCAGTAATCCAAAATATTTTTGGAACTTTATTCGGTCCAAACGTGGTTACTCTAGAATTCCGGGTAAAGTGAAGTACCTGCACAATGAAGTTACGGATCCACAATCGATTGTAAACATTTTTGCCGAATATTTCAGTAGTGTTTATAAGCCTACAAGCCCCTCAGATGTATCCCAATACTATACACATAAATATGTACCTAATATTAGGGTTAAGGATATCACAAATGATGAAGTTATACGGGCTATAAGAAGTTTAAAGGACACGTCCACAGCTGGTTGTGACCATATTCCGGCCTTTTTAATTAGAGACTGTGGTAGTGTGTTTTCGGAACCTCTTGTGTATATATTCAATGCATCACTTAATAGCAACAAATTTCCTTCTATCTGGAAGTTTGCTAATATTTGCCCTATATTGAAAAGTGGCGATCCCAGTGATGTAATGAACTATAGGCCGATAAGTATATTAAATAACTTCGCCAAGGTGTATGAGAAAGTGTTATACGGTAGAATTTATCCATCTGTGATAAGATTTATCTCTCCAGCTCAACATGGGTTCATGAAGCACAGATCCACGGCCACTAACCTGACCTGCATTACCCAATTTATAGAGACTGTACTTGACAATCGTGGGTAGGTAGATTGTATCTACACTGATTTTGCCAAGGCTTTTGATTCAATTGCTCATGACATTATCTTAGCAAAATTAGATAACTTTGGTTTTGATGTTTCTTTACAACTTCTGTTTAAGAGCTATTTGCAAAATCGATACCAACAGATAACTTACTATAACAATTTCGTTTCGTCTTATATAACTGCCACTTCTGGAGTACCTCAGGGGTCCAATTTGGGACCTCTCTTATTTTTAATTTTTATTAATGATTTGCCGGAAAAAATTACTAATTGTGGTAGTTTACTGTTTGCTGACGATTTTAAAATCTTTTCTACTATTGCAACTATACGCGACTGTGTGCACCTTCAACGTCAACTGGACATTCTTAGTGAGTGGTGTGATTTAAATAGGTTACCATTAAACATCAATAAATGTACAGTAGTCACCTACTCCCGTAGGGTCACGCCCATTGACTTTGAATACAACATTAATACTGCTACACTGGTTAAAACAAATAGTATTAAGGATTTAGGTGTAACCTTCGATGCTGGTCTTACATTTTCAAAACACATTGATAATACCGCTAAACAAGCCATCTCGACCCTTGGTTTTATTTTAAGAAATTGTAAATCTTTCACCAATATTACAACGTTGAAGACCTTATACTATTCTTTAGTTCGCTCGAGACTGGAATATTGTGCTATAGTGTGGAATCCCATTGTAAAATACCAGAAAGATAAGCTTGAATATGTACAACGCAAATTCTTAAAATCATTAGTTTATAGAATTGATCATCAGTATCCCCCACGAGGTTATAGCCAACAACGTTTGCTTTCACGTTTTTTCCTTAAATCCCTAGAACGCAGACGTTGTGAAATTTGTATCTCTTTTTTGTACAATTTATTACATAATTTAATTGATTGTCCTTATTTACTTTCACTTATTAACTTTCATGTACCATCTCGTTCTTCGAGAAATATTGTAACTTTTTACCAATCTACTCCCCATACTAATATGTTAATTAAATCGCCTTTATACCATACCATTAGAAGTTTTAATAGTTTATCGAAACATATTGATATTCATCATAGTCCTCTATGCGACGTCCTAGCAGAAATTGGTATTTGATTTTGCTTAGAATGTTATTTAGTAATTTCCATTAGTATTATTATTATTGTATAATTTTTCTTGTTTTTTTTTCTTACGTGTATCCTTGATATTTTATGTCATTTACTTCTAAAATTTTGTACACCACTTTAATTTTGATTAAATTGTCCTGTAATTGGATTTTGTAATCTGTAGGGCAATAAATTATTATTATTATTATTATTATTATTATTATTAGTGTTTTTGCTTTATTTGTTCTCACAGTATAATTTGGTAGCATAACGTTTAATTGATTTAATAAATAAAAATAATAAGCACATTTTCGAAAACCTTTCAGTTTTTCATCTCACGCGCTAGAACGCGATTTAGTGGTTTCGCAGAAAATAAGCGGACTGATGATTAGGGATCCAAAACGCAGATTTCTGTCATTTCTAGACCTTTCTTATACCTATTCTATGTACCTATTGCAGGTAGTCAAGATAATGAAAATGATAATAATATACAGGGTGCTCATTATGTATGGAATATCGCTAAATAACGGCTGTATACGAAATTTTCCTATATTAAGTTGTTTAATATTTTATTTCTCATAATAAGACACCGTTCAGTTGTTTTTATTTTAGAAAACAAATGAGTAATGAAAAACAATTGAATTTTTTTAAATAGCAATGGATAGGTTAGGCCACTGCCTTACAGTTAATGGCGAACATTTTGAAATATTTTTTACTTCTAATTTCGTTTTGTCTTCCAGGTTTAATAAAAAACGTACACCTTCATTTATTTTATTTTGATGTAGGCTATTTACTTAGAGTGCTATTGATGTAATTACTTAATAGTTTTATTGACTATACCTGAATCAAAATCTCCGTTTTGCACACTCAAATGCGTGCCAAATCGGATGTGCTTTAAAGGTTGCTAAGTAGTGTTACTTGAACTATGACTTATTTCTGTAAATGCAAAAGATTTCTTTTACTTGTACCTACCCTTTGTTTAAAGCTTTCACACACGTGTGTAATTTGGGCTATGCGGCCAAATCTGTCCCATTTGTTAATCACAGCATTGTTAGTATACCAATGGGTACTCTATCGCGTACATAGTTGTAGAAAAGGAAAACAAAGGGTCCCTTTTCTTGTTGCGCATCACCCGCTGTAATGTATTGTTTGAAGTTTTGAATGAATGCACCAAAGGATAGAAGATACCTTTGAAATTTCCTTCGTATATGCCAGCATCGTCGATGGATTTAAAACTTTGTATGTAAGATGCTTTCTATTCATCCACGAAAACAACTTTTTTACATTCTTTATACTGGGCTTTACTAGATTTGAATTTTGCACCTACCAACTTTTCTTCTACTTTTGCAACAAGCCATTGAATGGACGGTGTGTTATCTTTTTCAACCGAAACCGTTTTATTTACAAAGAGGGTGAGTTTTAATAGCCGACGTCAATCGACATGGCAATCATGGAATTACATTAACAGCCCACTTAATTAGACATATATTCGAGTAATACGTCAATATGATTTTAATTTATTTTTATTCCTAATCTTTGTGAACGTAAAACCGCGTGACACATCAGTTATAAACGGAATGGAAAATTTACAGTTCTTATCGCACTCGCGTTTTCTCAACCTCTTAACTACCCACAGGCTAGTTTTAGAAAAGGTCACAGTTGTGCCACGGCATTGATAAACTTAACGGATGATATATTCGCACCTACTGATAAAAATAAACTCTCTCTAATAGTAACGCTTGACCTTTCCAACGCCTTCGACACCATTAGTCGTGAAATTTTAATAAGTTTATTATTATTATGTCAGATTAAGCTCGGTGCAAGTACATTATCTTAAAAATCGTAAGCAACTGGTACTACATAATAAATCTGCTATACTACCGATTTGCTGGGGGGTCCCACAAGGCTGTATTCTAGGTCCACTATTATTTATATTATACATCTCGAATTTTTACAAATGTCTACAACATCAATACGCACATGGATTATACATTAATCCTTTAAAATCGCTATCTATGTTGTTTGGAAAAAGTATATACCTATTAGAAGTAATAATTTTTTTTTTTTGAAGAGGGGCGGCTGGGGGGTTGTCACTCATAACGTCATTCTGGTTCCCCCTCGATACCCCCGAAACGGTTTTGCGCGATTTTCAATATCTTCTTTAGTTTGGAAACTATGTCCGACTGCAAGTTTTAAAATTGACACCCTGTATAATATAATAGGTATAAGGATGCTGTAGAACTGCGTTACATGTTCAAGACAAAGTAAAAAATATTGGAGTGGTTCTAGAATCTAGCAGATTTAAAAAGTACGCATCTGAAAATTAATATTCCATAATCGGTTCTGTCAAATAACTTCGAAACCATGTCAGTTAGACAGCGTCATATTAACAAAATCATACTGATTTTTTATGAGGAATTCAAAAATGTCATCAGAAAAGATAGTGCCATTTGAAATAAAAAAGTTCCGGTATCGTTCTGATACAACCGTATGGGTTCCGAATCAAAATTCCAAACCGTTCCTAAGATACTTCTAATGGTCCACGTAAAAACACCACCCTGTATAGGCTTTCATTTCACACCAATTCCATTCATATCTGCCAAACAGTTATTTTTTTAACAAGTCTCAAACTTGAGCCTCCAGTTTGTCCTACATCTTTTTATGTTCTCTGAACAGTTTACTTCAGAAATTAGTAAAACAATTTTTGAAAAAACACAAGAAAAACGTTGTTTTGAATTTTTAAAACAAAGATTCAGTTTAGCTGTTCAGCAGGGAAATACGGCTTGTATTTTAAGCAATCTACCGCCACAGATAGCATTTAATGAAATTTTTTATATTTTAAGTATACGGAATTTTTTTTTTAATTTTTAAAAAAATTGTTTTTTAAACAATTTTATTTGCAATATGTTAATGTTGTAACCTTTTGTTAAATTCATAAATATAATATTCTTTTTGGTGTAGTTTCATGTGCGAGGATCAAGAAATTTCTCATGATTAAGGATCTACCCTTGGTCACATTTAAAAAACGAAAATTTTATCTATACAATGACAAACTGGATAATTAAAACAATTTGTAAGGTAATAGCAATTAGTGTTAATCAGATTAGCTGAAATTAAGTAAAATCAATGATTGAACACGAAAAAAGCAAGCAGAAAAAAAACCACTCCACACAACATACCAATCTACTTCAAACGTCTAAAGAATACAGTATCCTACATAAAAAATAATCAATACCAGTGTACACATTCAAAGAGCGAAACTGACTAACCTCATGTTGTGATGCATGGGTTTACGGTAGAGCTCGAACGCCGACCCCCTCTGCTCCCGCGAGCCTTGCAGGTCGACGATGTTGTGGCGTTCGGGTAGTCTCGCCTCGACGACGTCCGCGCTCTCCATGCTGTACGAGTTGTCGCGCTGCGAGATCGGCGTTATTTCGCTGCGCGACGCGTACGATATGTTCGTGTGACGATGCGAGTCGTACGGCGGCGCCATATCGTACGGTCCGTGCACGGACGAGTTGTATCTGACCGCGGTTTCGGTGTGCCAGTTGTTCGCGGGCGGCATGTTGTAGTAATAGTCGTGTTTGCTGTTCATTGTGGGCGACCGCTGATCTTGCTAAGAACAACGTTAATGAAAAGCGTTCACAAGGAGTCCAAACCATACTGCACAATGACCATAATATAAAATCAGAAATGTTTTTTGGATTTTTGAGTTTAAAAAATGAAAACGTCAAAATGTGTAAAGTTATATGGCTTTTCCATGTCTTACTTGTTAGTCAAGTTATTATACTTGTTATTTTGTACAGTCATCGAAAAAGGTGGACTCGATTTTAATTTAAAGTATTATTGGAGCGATTTCAGCGCAACGAACGTTAATACAGACGGAATATTCGAGTTTTAAGTAGTCATTAGGTTGATCTTGAAGATGCAACTATACGCATGCGCATGTGCCACCTCGGTCGATTGTGGACCAGTCAGTCTGTAGTCGCGATTTCTTTTCGGTGTGACATCCAAACCATTGTCTGCGCTGCAAAAATCCGGGACATGCGACTCAACACTGCCATTAGAACTGTGACTCATGAAATGATTCAGCGGACATGGACGGATTATCGTTTAGATGTCTGTCGTACGACAAGGAGCGTTCACATAGAAACATTAAACTAGGTAAAAAAAGGCCTGTAAGGTTTTCTTTATCTATTTGTGAAAAAGAAATTAAACTATCTTTATTACAGTCGTACACATTAATGTTTAAAATCACGTCCACATTTTTCGATGACCCTGTATGTTTTTATACGTCTTTCAATCTCTCTTCATTTTTCTGATTTCAATATAAATCCATTTGTAACGGTAGCCGAGGGAAAGGTTGATTTTTTTAAAATTAATGTATACGTGGCTTGTAGGCTGATTTTCTTCTTTTAATGTGAACCCTGTGTGGTAAGAGTCCGGTAATCAAAGACAACCCTCTGCTTCTAGCACCTTGTGTGCACCTATGCGGAAAGTACTGCCTTTGACTTTTTCGATTATGACGTTTTTTTAAATTTATTTCTCGATTTCTTCCAGTTTGTGAATTCTGATGCTGTTTTCAAATTTCACTCAAGCGATGGGGGTGGTTATAATTTATGGTCACTGGGCGCTATGGTCGCGCGCCTCACTTACCATCGAATTGCTGTAACTCTTAGCGTGCTGGTACGGCACCGACGGTTGGAGGATGCCATCGTTCGGTCCGTAACCTTGGTTCTTGTATGGCGGCTTGTAGTTTTTGGGTTTGGGGGGAGGAACGGGCTTGTACGCGTTTGGGGGGCCATTTTGGTGCTCGAACCCGTTGGAGTGGTGGTAGTTGTTTTTCACCTGATTGTGATGATGGGGAGGCACGTTGTGGACTGTTAGTTGAGCTTGCGTCAAGTCTTGATGGGAGGTGCGCGTGTAGTCTTGCGAATTGTTGTTGCGGCTGAAAAATGAGCTGTTAATTTCATGCTTACGGGTCCTTTTTAAGCTAACCTATACTTTCCATAATCAGTCTTAGTTTCAACGTAGGTCTTGGTGAAGCTATTCTGTTTTGCTGGCGATCTAAAACGGAGAGTATACAAATGATCTGTGCTTCTTTTAGACTAACCTATACATTTCTTGTCGATCTCGTTCCGAAAGCATGCGCGGGTTGAGGTGATCGAGAGGTGAGGACTCTTTATCGACCTCGTGCGAATTACGCGGACTTTGGTCAGGGTGATCGTTAACATTGTTGACCCCCATAGCGTACTTCAGATCTAACTTGGAGCCCAGCCGATCGTGTCTGTGATTATTTTGATCCCATCTTGCAGGGTACTTTGATGGTGTTGTCGGGTTATCTGAGTCGATTTTAGATAAAGTTGTTTTTAAGTCATCATGCGCGTTCGGGCCTATTCCCGAATTACCTGGAAGTTGCTGTTTATAGGAGTCGTAACTTGACAGCGAATCCGATTTCGAATTCACGCTCCTTTCCAACGAGCCTAATTTATTATTAAAGCTTTCCGCGTTATTATTTTGCTCGTTACTATCGCTTTGTTGGAGAGGCTTCGTCCCAAACAAGCGTTCGTGGGCGGATCGGCTAGAAAAGTATTAACAAATTAATAAAACAATTGTATTTGCAACATAGGAACATTTATACCGCTTCATAGCGAACATGAAGAAAAGCATGTCTGGCGATAACAATCTATAACAAGAATTGGGGAAAGCGAGTGCGTCATTGGATAACGCATTGAAAATTTTGTATACAACGGCATATGGCAGGAAATTTTCAAGACAAGTAATCAGTGCATTTTAATAAATTGGGAAAAATGAATATCAACACAGCGGATCATTGGCATTTTATTCTTTTGCATAATCACAATCTGGAGATACACCGAGTAAAAAGTAGAGGAAGGTCAAGAAAGATAGGATAAAGCAATAGTACCTACCCATTAGTCTTTGTCGGTGTAACCAAAAGTCCAATTGGTTTTACCGCTCGGTCGACCCGCGGCGGCAGATCCGGCGCGGTGGCGTACATACGTTCATCTTTCGGACTGCGTGGGTTCTGTTCGTTTAAGCTATTCCCCTTCGAATGATTGAACATCCCATGTAAAGTACTACTTTGTCTCTTATGGCCTTCTTTGATGTAGTCATTCCGCGGTTCCTTCGAGTAATCATTGGAGTGGGAATATAAACCACTCTGCTTGTAGGGATTTTGAGGGTCCAAATTTCCTGGCACCTCGGGAGTTAGGTTCGGGCCTTGATTCGTCGGATTGGGCGGGGTACTGGGGGGAAGCTGCGATTCCGAATTGCTTTGATTTCCGAATCCGTATCGTGTATCGTAAGTGGGCTGAAACAGATTAAATTAATTTGGCAACGCCGTTTCGGTACACGTACTTGATACGGTGGTAAGACATCGGTTGTGCTACTGTCCGGCATAACAACGCTCGGATCCGAACTGGCCTTTGTGAGTCTTCCCGCATTGCCGTTACCGCCGCCGGACAGTCCCGTCGATACGGGCGGGCCCGGGCTGTGCTCAAGATCGCTTTCCGGCGAGCTCGCGTACGATAAACGCAGCGATGACATTGGGAATAGGAAGTCATCGGATAATGATTCTTCAGGCTAAAAAATATATTACGATACACATCACAAATGCTTGTTAATACATTGGAAACAAGAAGGTTATTGTCAAAAATTAGTGGAGAGCATTGAGAAAGCAGAACAAATTTCACAGTATCATTAGGAATTAGGACATTTTAAATGGTAATGCAAATTGTACTATGTAATAAGTTGGTCTCGATCTTCATGAGCTGTTAACCTTTTTATGTACAAAAATGACAATATCAAGATTGTTACTTTACGCTCAAAAAATAACAAGATGCAAAACCTCTTCTAAATAATAATATGGGTCACCTTATAAACGGACGATATTTATTTGACGCAGTTGCAATACTATACATTTTCAGAACTTGTCACATAAACAAAACTTGAACACGGGACTGATTGAACAAACAGAAATGCTTGGGCACGTTTCGTTGTTTCCAGGAAGTAATAAATAAAAACCGAAATGGATATTTAACTTGTAAAGAAAGCGCTCGGGAAGGCAGTCACTAAGAAAGAAAGAATTAATTAATTCCTCCTCTTATAATTGACTCATTTTAATTGTATCACTTCATGAATATGCATTGAAGTGTTTCAAAGAAAGTTACACTGGTTTAGGTAGGTTGTAAAATGTTTACTGCTGCTGACAGTAAGCCGACCTAGGCGGAACTACTATAATAAAGATTTTATCATTCTATCAGTGAGGCGATTGAGTCTCCAACGTTGGTTCTGCAAACCGCCGGCCATTTCAACCCCTAATACCAGTCTGCGTTTTCGTGGCCAATCGGTGCCGAGTAATGCCATTTATACGTTCGCTAGTAGTAGACCGAAAATTACATTTTACTCCGAAAGTAGGCGAAAAAATGTTTGTTTTGCTATTATGACCAGTAATCAACCTAAATTTTCCACTGATTGACACAATAAACTGTCTTTCAGTACTAGTTATAATATCTATCTACTAAATGTAATTATGTATCTGATTGATGACCATTGTTTCTAACTATGTTCGTTAAGATCTAGGCGACTTAAAGATTTTACCAGTAAATCCTTTTGTATTGGCGGTTTTTTGAATTTTGAATTTGAACTTTCTACAAGAAAACCAAGAAGACAGAATTTGCATTTGCCTACTTTTCTTCTACTGTTAGAAATTCAGCGGATATCTCAAACGCCACTGATAGGATGAAATGCACCCAACTACTGTTAAATAATAAATTTTAAAACGTTTCTAAAAATACACAAACAAATAAATAGAATGAAACAATTAAATTTCCCCAAACACTTCCTCCGTAATAGTCAAATTTTGCACATTAAAATCAATCGGCCGAGGCAAAAGAGGCGGACCCTCTTCGATTTCAACGATTGGAATACCGACATCGTTAAAATTATTATTGTCGTTAAGAAACTCACTGGCGGCATGCACACGGTTATCGAACAGATTAACCGAGTAAGCGTCTGGCACACGTTTATCAGCGTTCAAGCACTCATAAGTTCTACTTGCATAATATTCGTTCGCGTAATGATGATTGCATACGCTGCATTCGCTAGGCACGTGATACAGAGGTTTGGAAACGGGTAGGTATTGGGGGTTGCTGTACATTGAGAGGGGGGCGCGTTTGGAGTGCTTTTTGGGTTTGGAACGTTGACGACTGGGTAGGGAATTGCTACTTCGCGTCGAGAGGTAAGCGATGGGAAAATAGAAATCTGTAAATAAGTCAATGCCCAGCTGAAAAAGAAATAAGAAATTACCACCACCGGAAGAGTTTGGTATTGTCCATTTCAAGTTATAGCTTCCATTCAAAGTAAGAATCACATTAGTGCCATTAGAATGACTCGAAAACTAAACAAGGACGTAAAAGTGTATTGTTTTGGTGCTAATGGGATTCTTGATTTGAATGTACGCTATAAATGCATCCAAGTACAAACCTTAGTTTCGCTCATCCAAACCGCACCGCTTTGTTGCTTGTCGATTATCTCGCGTACTTTTCTGTACCAATTGTCAGTGTTATCGTTTAGGGTTATCGTCGAGCAGAATATGTGATTCCACACCTTATCCAGCTTTTGGCACTGCTCCAAAAGCTTCTTGGAACTTTTGTGCGCCGACCTACAGCAAACGAACAGATTAGCGCGCCCTCTACACAACCGTCAACTCACTTTGGTAAACCTTGCCGCATTTGTTTTATGATTATCTTACTTTCCGCCTTGAAGAACACGACGACCGGATACAGCTGGGCGTAGTTCAACCGCTCGACGGTATTCGGCGTGATGTCGAGAAGCGCGTGTTTTCCAGTAGAGATCACCTCGCGAATTGCGGACAGTCGAATAATGTTGGAGGACATCTTTTGCGGTTTTGAATCGTCCAAATTGCTATCGAGCTCTAAAATAAATATCAGCCAATAGGGGGCGACATTTCAAAATTGAAACTTACGCGGCGAAATGAACTTGTCGGGAAAATCTTTCAGAAGCTTATCCCTGGCCACGTCCGCGATTGGTCCGAAGAGAATGACGGGTCGCGTGAAACCCGGGTGTTTTAGTACGACCCGCTCGTAGGCGGGGAATTTTGATACGGTGTCGGAGAATAAAATATCGTCCCAATGCTCCTGTAATACATACAAGTGTGTATTGTGTTTGCAGCGGACCTAACACTTGCGATAGCACTGATGCCTATCATTAACCTTATGTTACCCATGTTTTAGATAAAGCATTAACAAATGATTCATTACATTTGTCAAAAAGTATGCGAGTTTTTAAAAGAAAATCCAATGGGAAGTTTGAATTCAAAGCACAAACTATGTGACGTCATAGCTCTGATATTAGATCGACCCAGTACAGTGCGGTACACAACGATCCTTCCTTGTTTAACTTCACAAATGCTGGGAACGTGAAAACCTAAAGACAATGATAAGCATAATATTCTTTACCCCCCCCGCCATGTGTGCGTAGGTAACGAAGCACTCAGTTCTCAGACCGAAATTTATGAACACGCTGTACATAGATGACTACCAGCTTTATTGAACACCTGATATCTAAAGGCACTTCGTTATTAAAAGTGTTGTTCCGGAACTATTTTTTTTTGAGACGGAAGGCAGAATTACTTGCTTTAATTTCTAGTGCCGTCTTAGCCGCTGATAAGGAAACCAATTGCCGTATATAAGTGTTCAGCCGCTTGATCTGAAATTCCATGTAGCAATAAGTGTTAACTAGATGACCGATTTAAAAATTCTTATCTTGGCAAAACAAGTAAGACTAATTAACCATGGTTAATTAAATGAGTTGCAGTAAGCGGCATCCGATTAAGTCGTGAGTGGTCTTATAAGAAGCGCTGTTAATTAATTTGAATTTTAATTTTTATCGTTATCTATCAAGTAAAACGGCCGGGTGGGAAATCCGTAGATTCTAGAGGTTCATAAGACTATGAGAGCAATGACGTCACTTTCGTTTTCTGGACTATTTCATTTTATTTCTCTG